TTCATTATATTTATGGAAAATTATGCTCATTATTGTGATAATCCTAATTATAGATGAAACTCAAGAGCCAAAAGAAAATGGCCAGGAAAGAATGACTTTTTTATTTTAAAAAAAGGTCTAATTGCATTTTAAAAAATGCAAAAAAATTAAGTAGTATTTTTCAAGTCTGCAGTTTTGCTAAAGAGCAAAGAGAAATCATAAATCATGTGGAGTAACTGCTGATTAAGTATTCAACAAAAATTATACAATATTCTTCTCGTGTGAGTAATGCAGAGTCAAACAAGGTGCTCTGTTCACTCAGAGCTATTTGGACACATCAACAAATCATTCTGTGTAATCACTAGGATAAAACAGTGTGAAAATGCCATAGTGGGGAAGGAAAGCAAAGGTGGTGGGGAATGCCTATGCCTACAGACGGCTGAGATTTCCTTTGGTTCTCTGACCCTCATCCACCTCCACACACACACAAATTGGAAGTGAGGTTTTCTACTACAGCACAGAACTGAAGGTTTTACAAGGAAGAGTTCACACTTTCTTAGCTAGCATTCATAGGAACTTGAGGAAATTGTATCTTTATTATGGAGGAAACTTTGCCCAGACAAACTGAATACCATTTAAGGCCACTTGGTCAACACCAAGGCGAGCACTTTTGGTTTCAGCAGAGATCAAGCACAGAAACACAGGTCACAGAACGACTGACATTTAGTCACATGTCACACAGCCAAACAGACATTATTTTAACTACAGCAAACAGCAACATTTCATTTTTAAATCTAACTCAGACAGTGAGATTTCCCAAATTATTTAAGACCTGGATATTTAAGACAGGAATAATAGCATGACTTGTTAGGAATATAAACTGAGAAGCCACATTTAATGTATTTTAATGGTAAAAGGCTTCTTTTTAAAGGCTTCTTTTTATTTACATAAGCAAAATGGAAAAGTAATCAACGTCCTCGGAAAACAGCATTTTATCATCTTGAGATCCTTTTTACGAATTTTACTGCAGTTAAAATTCACATGGAACCATCCTAAAACACTTTAAAATAAGATACAGGAAAATGAAAAAGAAGGCTTAGCCAGGCAGCTCAATTCCTCGTTTGTTCCTTCCACTCAGAAACAACTCTATTTAATTACAAGCAACTTAATAGCTTTGCCTGTTGGAAATGCAGTGGACACATTGACTGTTCAATGAAGACCAAGCTCAAGTCTGTGTGTTTTAATTGTATGGGGGGGGGGGGAAACCCAAGTCACAAAATGTGTAGAAATATAAATGCAGGAAAGCAATTTAAGCTAGTGAGGTGGAAGCTGATAGAAAACAGTATGACAAGCAAAGTTAGCTATAAGTAATCCCTCCTGGTCCCGGAGTACTTCTCTCTCCTACCATTACTCTCTACCATTACCTGACAGGGGGTTGTAGAGGTGGGGAATTGTCTCTCCTGCCATGACTGCAGTGAGAGGACTAGAGAGAATGGCCATAAGCTGAGACAGGGGAGATTCAGATTAGATGCAAGGAAAAATTTTTTCACTGTTACGGTGTTCAGACATAGGAATAGGTTGCCCAGAGAGGTGGTGGAGTCACCATCCCTGGTGAGAGGAGTCTGGATCTGATGCTGGAGGATATGGTTTATGATTTAGGGGTTACAGAAGTGTGACAGGCTAATGGTTGAACTTGATGATTCTACGATTCTATTTTTACCTGATAAGAATCCTGATCTAAGACAAGCACATCCACTGAGATGAGTCCACAGAAATCAGAAGCTTACAGGGGGGTAAGCAGAGAGGGACAAAAAAAGCAAAGTAATTAGGGAGCAGTTGATGAAATTACAGCTTGATCATTAGACAATTACTCAGACAGATGAAGTTACATGAGATACTATCACAATTATCACAAATTTATCAAAGTCACAGTTTTTTATTCTAATCCTAAACATAAATCTGTAAGATGTTTGGAATTAAATTACTCCTGGAGGCTGTTTATTTCAGCTATCTTCGTAGAAGGACATGAACATATGGTAGAAATTTGTCCTTGCCTAAAATTACTCTGCTTGTACCATGTACATTATAAACACACAGACAGGGAATGGCACTGCCAGATGTAGTGAAGGGAGTAAGAGGATAAGAATGAGGGTGAAGGAGGAAAGGGATCCTACCATCCCTTTCACACAGCTAACACAGTATCATTTGCTGGAACAGTAAAAATCCATAGCACTTCATGGTCCAGAAGGACTAGCCACATTGCATGTACCCAATATTAGTAATACATGGGGAAAAAAACAGGAACAGGCACAGAGAAGTGAGAAGTCTGACTCAGACAGATAATCTGTAAGCAGATGTGGAGTGAAAAAGAAATGCAGATCCACCAGCATAGAGAGGTATAACATATAGTCAGCACCACATTGCACTGAGAGAGCAATATAATGTCACTGAAGGAGAAAACATTTCTGCAGTGAAGGGAATTAAATATCATGTCACTGGTAAAGAAACGAGCAAGCCCCATGGGGACTCAACAGACATCTCCCCCTTCCCCAGTCTCCCCCAAAACCAGAAGAAACAAAACTAAGGACAAAGCAAAGGTGACGCATGAGATCTCTGAACTAGAGGTGCTGCCTGCAGATAAGAATGAAAGGCCTTCCACTAACAAGTAAGACCAAGTCAGAACAATCAAATGTGGAAGAACACTGATGATGAGGGGACAGCTCTGACCAAGGCTGAGTATTTTATTTCTTTACTGATTCGCATCCTTCCCCTTCCAACATCAAGAATACAAGGGAGACTGCTCTACCCAGAGTCCTATTTTTGCATCTACTTTGCCTGCCTGTTTAGAAAAGCTTTCCAAGACTGGAAATTCCTCTGGTTCTAGTCCTCGAAATAAAAATACCATTCCAATAGAAACCCTGGAGGTCACCTCTTCATCTAGCATCAACTGAAAGTATTCTCAAGTCTCTAGGGTACTTTGGTGGCCAGCATAATTCAAACCCACTGCAAGACAATGAGCTGTGTGGGAGTTATGTTTTAAACTATTAAAAACTTGCTCATTTGCATAATATGTAAGAACAGAAACAAGAAACAGAAATTAATTCCTTACCACTAGAAACCAGAATCCTGATTTTCAACTGAAAGGATAAGATCAGACATTACAAAATTACAAGACGAGGGCAGATAATTTAGTGCTGTTTCCCATTTCTGAGAAGCAGAACAAATAAAATCCTTACTTATTTATTAAAGCCAGAATTTTGATTCCTGTAAACTCAGGAAGTGAATATCTCATTGAAGTGTTTCCAGCTACACAAAATCAGATCAATGTCCTTGAAGTAAAAAATACAGCAGAAAGCCAAGGACTGTACAGAAACAAAAGCCACTTATCCAGGCACCATCATTTTCTGTGCACGCAAAAATTCCCCAAACACTTACAGAACTCTCTTCTCTAGAAAACAACTGAAAAGGTATTGGGGAACTCCTCATTGCCAACACCTGTTTTCACTGTTCTATATTTTCCCTCAGTTTGTAAACAAGACTTGCTTCTTCTATTTTTCCTACCTGCAACCTGTTGAAGTTGTTCTGGGCACTGACAGTCAGGATTATTTCTCTTGTATCACTATAACAAAATTTAACTACAATTCTTTAAGCTCCACCAGTCCCTCAGTTAAACTGACATGCTTTCAGTCTCCAGTTTTCAATAAGCACCTATCCCTGTGGCTAGAAGTATTTGCTCAGAAGACCAACAGGGAAGTGCAAGGCTTGCCTCAGCCAGACTCTGCTGACGCAGACTAGTGCCCCCTGCTCACATGCTGAGGTTCTGGGGGAATGGAGAAAGAAGCAAACGTGGGAAAACAGCGGTGACAGGAGCAACAGTTACAAGCAACCACGAGAATATTCTCCTTCCTATTGCTTTTGTTCCTTCTGTTGTTGGGGCCCTCTGAGATGGGAGGCACAGGAAGAATTACATCTCCTTTGTTCTCTCTTTTTCCTTGATGCTGTGCTTCATTTCCTTTTCTTGCACTAAAGGTTAGAGGAAGGGGAAAGTATTGTTACAGGGAATAAGGAGCCAGAGGTCTAAGGCAATTGTGGATCCATTCACAACAGGCAGGAGAACAAGAACTATGAAGAAATGAATCATCTGGGACTGATGCTTTCCAGGTATTTTTCTTCCCGTCATGAATGTTGACCATAACTACAGAGGAAACAGCTGCTAATAAGACAGACAGAAGAATCAATTTTGCTTTCATTTGGGGCTTTTTATTTGAAACTAACTGAAAGACTGGAACAACAGCATCTACAAAAGGTACCCAGTATAACACAGAATCTTCTGCTGATTTCAAGTCGCGTGTTACTTACATACAGAAATTCATTTCGGTAGTTTATAGTCATAGTGACACTCAAAGGCACCTGCAACTGTCTTGGTTGCACATGCACTGTAGTAATTATGCATGCAAATGAGGAAATTAGACATTTACGTGGTTGATCACCAGTATAATTACTATAACTGAACATACGATCATGGTAACTGTACACACAAATTCCACATGCATGCAGTTTTCAAAATCAAGAGCTGCATTCATTGTCTCTATTTTGATAACATCCTATGGAAACACTCCTCCACGGGAAAAAATAAAAAAGTATTAACTTTTCAAAAGATGTACATTTACTCAACTGTCTACTGAACGTTAAAAAAATATAACAATCCAGTAATTCTGTTTCCCAAGCTGATGTATCAGCAAAATCTCACTACTGTCATGAGTTACCAACTTGAAAAGAGTAAGTCATTTAAACATAGCCTCTTGCTTCTCACTTTTATATGCATTTATTAACCTGTAACTTCATTAAGATATTAAAGGTGATTATTTGAAAAAATAGTGTATATGATCAAAATTTTAACAAGAGCTGAGTTAAATTTCCATTAGCTCATCACAACTCTAATAGTGATAAGTGGAAACACTTTAAAGTTTGGACTTTTATCAATCTAAGCCCTTCAATGTACAGGATTTGATTATACTTTAGACCAGAAGAGTTGGTGCATTCAAACCCATATGAGGTATTTTTCTAAGGTACATAAACAACCACATGGAAAATATGCTTTCATGTCTCAAGCCCGGATTTGGATCCATTCGTATTAACATAAGGAACGATTTTGCATTTATTATTAAGTATCTCAAAGAATTTGACAGAAGTAATAAAATATTTAGATATTGCTGTATTCTGGCAGATCACGGCGTAGTCGTATTGCCTTCAGCTTCTCTACTTTGATTTTTGTTCTCAACAGTTCTTCTTCCAGTTGCTGCTTTCTTTTCAAACCATCCCTTTTTTCCTGGACATAAAGACCAATTTTTCTTTGATTTTCTAATATTATTTGATGCTCTTCTTTCAGCATTTGTAACATCTGCGGGTCATAACCACACATTGGTCTAAAGCGTTCTCCAACCTCGAGCCTAAAAATCTCATCTCTTCTTGGTACAGGGGAGGGAGACATCATCACTCTCATATCAACTGAAGACACTGATGTTGAAGGAGACCTTTCCATAATATGCACCAGCTGGTGTTCTTCCTCTTGTTCTAAGTTCTCATTTTGCTGTGGGTCTATAATCAATTTTTTTTTTCCGATTGCAAGTCCATCATGACTGTCGCAGGATGGTGATCCAACATTGCCTGTGGTGAACTGGTACCAGCAATTGTTTCTTTATCGATACTAGCACTAGAACACACAAAATCATATTTAAATAATCCATTAAAAACTATTCGTAAAAGTCATGGTTGTAAATAAACAAAGCTTCATTTAAATGTTACTCTGCTACTCTTAAATGCTACTAGCTATGCCTGGGACTCTCTTTCATTGCCTGAACACCACCTGCACCCCTCTGTCTTCCCACCACACAGACACAGCCCTGTCCTGCTCAGGTTCTATTGCTATAAAGCAGTTCAGCCCACAGAGAACTTGACTGTGAGGCCCCTCCAACACTGGAGAAGCTAGAAGGGCTAATAGTGATGAATGAAAATGTTTTTTAAAAAAAGCAACAGCAAGTCACGTATCAGAGGAAAGAGTTTATATAACGTGATTTTTAAAAGGACATAAATTTACATTGAGTGGACTATGGCAGAAACATTTCCATCTCCTGAACTCATGCATCTGCCCCTGTTCTCATGTGCTCCCTGTTTCTGATTCATGCACCTGAGTATTTGTGTGGTTTTTTAATTTACAAATAACCACCAAATAAAATGACACAAAGAGCTTTGGGAGAAGAAACCAGAGCCCAGTTGATGACCCTGCCAGTAGATTTGGGAACCAAGCTAATCCTTGCTCCTTATCTTTGAGTTGGTGATTCTTATGCTCTTCTGCAGCTTCAATAGAAGACACAGAAATGTTTCCATTAAGAACAGCCTCTAGTTCTGTGCACCTCTTTTTGAAAGAACAACGCCCACTTGACTCACCTGTCTTTGTGTAAACCCCTGAGTCAGCAGCATCTCAAACCATGATTTGACATTGCATTGGCTTTGATGATAATAATGGCTCAAGCTGTTCCTGACACTTCTCTACCATCAGCTGTATTTGAAACCCTACACTTCTGCACATCACTCCTTTTTTCAGGTAATGCTTTTTTAAGCCAGATCAGCTTCTTGATCTGTTACAGTACAGATCTACAAAGAATACTGTCAGCGTGACTGGGAAGGCAGTATAGTGTAACACGGGAGCAGGAATATATTAACTTGGTATTGACAGTGCATCACCTTGGCCAGGACTGTCTAAAACAGAGGCAGTAACTGGTGGGTGCAGATTTGAGACATCTCACAACCCTTTAAAAACTGGGCTGCTGCTAGCAGTTAATGCAGCAAGGGGACCCATGATTAATATCAGTTAAAGACAGTGAGAGGATCCATGATTAATATAACATTCACAGATGCTCCCCAACCCTGGAGGACCTGAGTTGCTGTCTATTAAATTGGAGGGGGGCGGGGTTTTACACTTTTTAAACACCTTGAGAGCCCTACAATCCACACATTGAGAAACTATCTGACTATTAAAACACTGTTCTGGTTAGTAATAGATGTGGGTTCAAATTCCCAGAAGCAAAGAAGAAATGTAATCCGTACATCATATTCTCATGTAAATGCACTACCTCCTTAATGAAAAGGTGGCATGATGATAACTTCTGTATCCCCCATGGTCTGCAACACTCTTGGTTTAAAAGAAATAAGCAGTCATGGTTGCAGTTTCTGAAGGACTCCTGATCTAGCCTGCGATCCATTACCATGAAAATCCATTTTCTAGAATAAAAGCATGAAAGCTTCTCAATACTCAATTGTAAAAATCCTGTCAACCAGCCGAACTATTTTAACTTAAGATTCTTTACAAAAAAAGCCCAGTCCATCTGAAGCAGGTATTGAAAATAGACCTTTCACTAATTCCCTGAACAAAATGCCAAAGATAATCTTAATTCTATTGACTGTTAACCTGAGCTGCCTATAGAGTATCAATTATATCACCTTACGCCCTCCTCCTCATGCCACAAAGCTTCACCTTTTCCTATACACATCTGTCTCACATTCCTGTTACTCCTCTCCTTGAGCATCGGGAAGTATTATCCTGCACACAAATTTTCACTTGTTTTCCCTAGTGCTGGTTGTAATTCCGGGTTTCCCCCCCTCTCCACAACTGCAGCTTCTAATACAGCTTCCCTCCTTCTCATTTGCTGGCTCCTGGCCAGCTTCTAGCCTGAGAAAAGTGGAAACAACCAGCAGGAGAAGCAGGTCATTCTGACAAAAGGAAATGGAGAGAGAGCAGAAAGAGAAAGTGAGAGAGGTTAGAGAGAAGAAAAAGGTAAGATTTAGACTAGCATAGACTAGAGCCTCCAAACAGTGAAAAATCCACCTCTTAAAGTGCAATCCACACAGAACTAGAAAAATTACCAAATCGTCAGGTATCTCTGATGTGGCTTTTTTTCCCCCCCTTAGTCAGTCTCTTAAGGGGAAAACAATTAGACAGCAAAGAGAGAAAGAAGGAATTGGGAAACAAAAGAGCTGTCTGTATGGTGGTTACTAATGTTGTTTCTGACAACTTGACTGAAAGAAAGACAAACAACAGTTACCACAATTGGGGCATGGTGTTTATAACCCTGCAGGCACCCATGATTCACCAGGTTTTGTTTAATCACAGCGAGCTAGAAATTGCTTAAAGGTGCGATTAAGAATTTGGATTCATTTTAAGTTGTATTTCCCTCCTACAAAACCTAAGCCATATCCCGGTGAGTTAAAACCTAATACAGGGTTTATAAAATTAGGGTAAAATGCAACTCAGAGTTAAAATTAGAACTATCAAATAATGATGTATTTGGGTAGGGGAAAAAAAAAATCTTTTATATTATATTCTTTTCCCTCAGTGCACAGTGTATTGGCTGCTCCTAGGAACAACCATTTTGGGCAAGCAGTAATCAAGTCAATGTTCCCAGACCCATAAAGAACTGAAAGAAATGTTTAAATTATAGGAGACAAACTATGGAGATCATTAACTCTTAATCATTCACTAAAAGCGTCAGTGCTTTTTATAAGCCGATCTACAAACCAAAGTTCTCACACTATTCCCCCCCCCAAAAGTTGGTAGTCAAGACACTGCAACCTTTATTAGCGCAATTAAAAGCCTCGTTTTGTTCCAGAGAATTCTTTGGAATGGTTCCTCCAGGGGCATTTACCAGGAGCAGCAGCACAGCCCAGTTGCTTTAGACTTCTTTACGCAAAGGACCCACAACAGCATATTTTTAGAGCATCTGGCATGTTGGGATTTAGACAATTGTTACCATTCAGTTCAACCAGTGGCACCATGAATCCAATTCTGCGAGTGTGCGCATGCCAGCTTTTCTTAGACTGTTACGCTGCTGCACCGACTACCAGGATATCTGATTAAAACATGGAAAGTTCGCTTCCCATTAATCTGCTTGGGAAAATAAGAAAAATCAGAGCTTTCTCAAGGTTGCTGAGGAATTATTTGGCTTCCTCCCTTCTCCCCCACCCCCCCAGCTTACTTTTTGTATCTGGAGGAACCAAAACCTGACCCAGGCATTTTTTGATCCCTCAAGGACCAATACAGAACCAGCAGAGTGTTGCAAGTCAGATATGAGGGGCATTAGCCAGCTGTGGGAGAAAGCCTGCATGCTGCCTGCCTGTATTATGTCTGGCTCAAATCTAGACAGTGTGTCTCACTTTACTGAGCAGTCAAAAAAAAAAAGGAAACCCTACCAAAAAAAACCAAAAACTTCGAGTGCTGTACCTCTCAGTTTCTCTCTGCATTTAAACTACCTCAAGTATGACACAGAACTGGTTGGAGTTTAGACTGCAATCAGGTTTGCTCCAGCTTCAGGGAACCACCGTTGATGCAAGAAAAGTATAATTTAAAAAAACATTTGCACTCACAAAGGCACTGCAGTGTGGAGAGTCATTTTTTTCCTTTTTTTTAAAGGACTGGGAGCAGCTAAAACATAACATGCAAACACCAGAGTAAATGAGATCATAAAGGTGCCTGAGTAAAGCGTCCTAGCTCTGTGAACTAACTTTATTAAAAATCCTATGTAAACTGGTAATAGTTCCATATGTTGCAAAATGACTGCAGTATTACCTTAAATGGAGGAGAATAGCCACCACTTTGCCAGTGTTTAAGTAATCTGCCTATTAAAAGGTAGGGGAGGGGTAGAGGTTGGAGCTACTATTTCTCTTTGATTCTCTCTTAACCCTCACTTTCCAGAGTATGACAAAGACTCTGAAACAAGCTTTGAAAGAGTTGAAAAAAAAATGAATGCAGTGCTAAGTCACCACAAAGCTTCCCATAAAACAAAAGCAGTATTATTTTTGTCATTGTTCCCCATTTTGGGAATTCTCTCTGACAAATATTTCCTTTAGGAGCCTGAGCCCAAGCGAAAGCGACACAGAGTAGCTAGGAGGCGCCATACTTCCCATCCAGTAACAAAATAAAAAGAATTGTCTCACCTTTGAACACCGCTCCTGTCTCTTAAACACACATTGGAAATCTGTGGAATCATCTCCACAACTTTCTTGGTTGGCTCGGAAATGCTGCTTTTACAATCTGAGTGAGTCTCCTTTTGCTGCAACAGCTCCTGTTTGGCATATTCTTTGAGCCTCTTGTACAGCGTGCGCAGGCCCTGTGCAGTGCGAGGAGGGCGATCTGCTCCGATGGCATTGTAGTTATCAGCTATGATATCCCAGCATTTGTTTTTTTCCACTATTACAGAATGCTTATTGGTATGTTCCTCGAGAATTTTAACGTACGGCTTCACGAGTTTTAGCAAATCAAGCTTTTCAGATAAGGTAAAATTAGAAGATCTGGCCTTCCCAACCATTGTTATCTTTGAATTAAGGAAGCCGTTCCTGGAGCCACCATGCAGTCCCTAGCTCTGCTCAGCTCTTTTTCACAAACAGAAAAAGATCAGGCTTAACTAGGCTAGTCTCATTTAGGCCCACGCCTACAAGGGAGGGTTTATTAAAATTCCTTCAGCTTAAGCTGACGCAGGTTCAGGAAATCTGCTTAAGCCAAGCCTGACCTACATAAGGCTTCAGACTGAAGAAGGCGAGAAGAAACAAGCAAAATACACTTTTGTACGAAGAGACCAGACATACGCAGGATTTAAAAACATAAAGGTTTAAAGATTAGCACGTTACCCAGCTAAAAATTACCTAATTTAGCTTGAGTAACAAGCTCTGACACATCTCCCTCGCTCCCTCGCACGCATCTCGAGCTCAGACCGCGCTGGAGATGATTTTACGTGTAACCAGGGCCCCCCGAAACAGCAACACCCGCTCTGTGC